AAGGAGACGGCTGCCAGGGACTCATGGTGGACACTTTCTGTGAGAACCGCAGGGCAAACCCAGTGACAGTGAGCTGTCTGTCACACTCTGGGATTGCTTCTGTGTAAGAGCAAAAAGGCCTCTTGTGTGGAGCCCCCTGGTGATGCTGGTTTTGATTGGGAATGGGGTCCCACCTGGACAGCTCCTTTGACCTGGTTCTCTGGGTGGGGGTCTTCACAGACAAGGGCTGGCGGCTGGAGGAGCCCTGGTGGCTGCAGGTTGGGCTTTCTTCAAATAACTCTTTGTTCTGGGCAAGGAGAGTACAGCAGGGCTTCAAGGATAAGGCTGTCTTTATTGAAATAGGGGCTCCAAACCTGGGGAGGGAGAAGGGGACTCTCGAGGCCCTGGGGTTCTCTGGCTGCTGAGCCCATCCAAAGGTATGAGGAGCCCTGGTCAGGGGCAGAGTCAACAGCTGTAGACAGGGGCAGGATTATTAAAGGGTGATATTGTCCTCGTACAGTGACAGCAGCAGCAGGACGGTCCAGCCGCCCAGCAGGCCCACATGGTGCAGCAGGAAGAGGAGCCAGGGCCTGCGGTCCCGCACATTGAGCATGGCCGGGAGCTGAGGAGGGGGCACTGGGTTAGTGGGCGGCTTAGGCACCTTCTCAGCTCCCCACCCCAGGCTCCCGGCTGCCCCCTGACCATGTCACAGAGCGCCACGTAGAGGAAGAGGCCTGTGGCTACTGCCAGGATCCAGGCCTCGCTCTCCTCGCCGACTCCGACTGCAAGCGCCACGTAGAGGCCGGCAAAGGCCGTGAGAGCCGAGGCCAGGTTCAGCAGCAGCGCACGGCGCACCGACAGCCCCGCGTGCAGCAGGGCCGCGAAGTCCCCTGTGGGCAGGGTCCCGTCCAGAGGTCCGCGCGGCGGGCAGGCCCAGCCCACCTTCAGGACTGACCCGCTGCTGCCCCGGGTAGCCAGCCTCACCCCCTGGCGAGGTGCGCCCGGCACCTAGGGTCCCCCCACTTCCCAGGGTCCCCCCACCACAGAGGCCACGCCCTGACCGGTATCCCCGCCCACCAAAGCAGGCCTTGTCCCCGCAGCTCACCCAGCTCGTGAGGCACCTCGTGGCAGAACACCGCCAGGGAGGTGGCCAGCCCGGTCTTCCAGGAGGACGCGAAGGCCGCGCCCACGGCCAGTCCGTCAGCGAAGTTGTGCACGGCGTCGCCCAGGGTGATCAGGTAGGGTAGCAGCCTCAGCTCTGCGGGCGCCATGGGCATGCGTCCTCTCAGGACTACTCCCGCCCGCCGCCCGCCCACGGACCGCAGGCCCTGGTGCTCCGCGCCTCCCCAGAGCTCACCTGGGTTCAGCCTCCGGGTCTCGGGGTTCAGCAGCTCCGGGCTCTCCTCTGCCACCTGGGAGGAGCGAGGGGGAGCCCTGGCTGAGGTGCAGAAGGGGTCAGGCCTTGGCATGGGGACAGGTCACGGGACTATGGAGGGTTCTCCTGAACCAGGCTCTGCATGGAGCAGGGGTGGCCCACTCACCAGCTCTGCGCTAGAGCCCTCGTGGGCCTGCTTGGGCTGCCGGAGCTCGCTGGGCGCCAGCTGCAGGGACACACCGTGGCTGTGGCCACCATGGCTGCAGTGCCCGTCCTTCTCTGGATCCTGTGGGGAAGGTGGTCAGGGGCTTTCAAGTCTCCTTCCTGTGTACCCATTGGGTCCCCACGAGCCTGACCTGGTCCTTGGGCAGCAGGATGTTGAAGAGGCTCTCAAACAGGAAGAAGATGTAAAGGCCTCCCAGCACAGCCAGTAGACGCCAGGTGGACTGTGGGCCAAGGCCCTCCCCACTGTGTGTGTGGTCCTCTCCACTGTGCGTGTGCAGCCCCAACACCTGGGGAGCAGAGTGTGGGCAGGGGGGTGGGATTTAGGGCCCACAGGGGTGAAAGGCTGGGTCTGGGGAAGGCCAGGAGAGGGAGGGAAAGGAAGGACTCTGGCTGATGGGTGAGGACAGACCTTGGGTGTCAGGTGCAGGAGGGCGTCACCAGTGAGTGCACCCACGGCCATGCTCAGGAAGGTCTGCATGACATAGTGGGTGGCAGAGCTGCAACTGGCACAGGTCAGCAGCAGGAGGCCAAGCACAGCACAGAGGCAGATGAGCAGTGTGGCCAGGGAGCCATACAGATACCCTAGGGGGTGAGGCCACACTGAGAACCCCCTGCTTCCCAAGCCCAGCCAGGGGATGAGCAGGAGTTCACCAGCGCTGCCCGTGGTCAGCAAAGGCCTTTGCTTACACTGGCCCTCCTATCTCAAAGCCTCCCTGAGCCCCCTTGCAGGCCTCCATCCTTGCCTGCCTCCCTCCCTACCTCCATTCCTCCCCATTCCCAGTAGCCACTCCCTCTTCCCTAGGTGGGCCCCCCTCCTGAGGCCAGCACCTTGGGGCACAGCCAGGTAGGCCCAGCTGGGGGGTTGGGCACGCACTCTCTGTCTGGCTGAGCTGGTCCTGGGTGGGTGACTTTGCCTGGGGGCTGCAGGCCCCGCTCAGTTGCTGCTGGAGCAGGGCAGGGCTCAATCTGGTCCAGGCTTCGGGGCTCACCCCAGTCTTCTCAGACAGCCCATAAACAGCCATTACCTCCCTGGCACTCAGGCACACCTGTGGGGAGGTGTGCAGAACAGGGGTCAGGGGCTGAGCATGCACCCATGGGGCCCCAGTCCTCCTAAGACTGCACAGGTGGCTCACCGTGTCCCACACACTGGAGCTGCTGTTGAGGATGGCAAGGGGAACGGGGTCCCGGTTGTTGGCCTCCCTATCCAGTTGACTGTGGTCATCATGGTCACTGTGGTTGTGGTCACTGTGGGCCTCTCCACCCACTCCCAGGCGCTTCATCAAAGCTTCCAGCTCTGTTAGGAAGGACAGAAGTAGTGCCCAGTCTATGGGCTCCAGGTCCGCCCTTCCCAGGGACATGGAGCCTGGGGGGTCTCAGCCCAGGTCTCACCCGCCAATGTCATGTTGAGAGCTTCGCTGCTATGCTGCCGGAACACAAAGTCCACAAAGTACTGAGGGCTTGGCAGGGCATGGAAGCAGGACCCGTTCCTGAAGTGGTCTAACAGGGCGGCCAGGACAGGGCCCGGGTTTTGAGGAGCTCCTGCCTCCACTGCCTCCTCCAGCAGCTGAGGGACGTCTACACAGGCCTGGGGAGGGGATAGTGATAGGAGCACCAGAATTATTATAGGGTTATTGATTGTTGATTATGTTAATTAGTATTAATTAGTGGGTTGAGTGAATGAGTCTATGACTGTAAGTAATGTGCCCATGATGCACTGTGAACTGCAACACTTAGAGACAGACTTCAGTTAGTGATGTAAGCGTCTACACCCAGTCATCTGCCACAAGCACAACTGAACTAGGACTTAAAAACCCAGACTTCTATGGGGCGACGGGACCAACAGGACCTGGACAAAGAGACCGAGGCCTCCGTTGCTGTTTTTCCCCCTGCACCAGACTCCTCTGGCTTGGATGAGTTCCAGCGACCCAGACTTAAGACATGTCACAGGTGACGTTGACTCAGTTAGGACTTAGAATTAGGATGTCTAAAGTGTGGTGAGCATTAATAAAACAGATTTGGTTGGATCTAACTGTGCCTCAGACTGAGTCTGTAGTAACCACTTATGACGGATGGGCCTCAGCCCCACCCTCAATGAACTTCTGGCTCCAGCTCTGCCTTTACCTGTTGGATATGTCTCCCACTGATTCACAGGTCTGCACCCACCAGACTGATGCACTTCCTGGATTCGGAACCACTTCTTCCTTCTCACCTACGACCTGGCTAGCCTCAGTTCTTCTGGGGCCACAGCCCAGCCCTGCCCTGGCCCAGCTAGTCCAGGCCCCCAGTCTGCTCTCTGGCCTTCTTGGGGCACCAGAGCCTTCCTGGTCTGCCGTCACTGGGGAACCCCACACCCTACTCCGTCTTCACTGGGACTCCTGGCTCTGGCAGTCCCTGACCCAGTCAGTGTAAACCCCTATGAGATCCCCCAGAGCCTGGAGGGCATTGTGTGGGTGTTTCCCCTGCTTTAGTCAGGACTGACCCCCTAATGGCCCCTTCCTGTGTTCTGGCCACTTTACCCTACTTCCTGACCAGCCCTCATGGGCCCTCACCTCTTCCCCAGCAGGCCGGCCAGCAGACTGGGCCTTGATCTTCTGCAGCAGCTGACTGAGGCCCTGGGTCAGGGCCTCAGAACTCTCCAGTAGGACCAGGAAGTGGTCGGCCTGGGAGGCCCAGCGGCCAGCCTGGATGTCTGCACATGTCCTCTCTGGATTGCTAAGATAGAGAGCTGCAGCGGCACTGAGGCGGGCTATGTACCTGGACTCTAGGACTGGTCCTGGAGCCAGCCCTGGCTTGTCAGGCCTACCCAGGGCCAAGATAGCCTCCACAGACAGGCACTGTGGGCAGAAACAGGTGGACAGGAGCTGGACTGGGCCCATCAGAGAGGGCAGAGGCAGGCCCTGGCAAGGACGGGCCCTAGGCCCTCTCTCACACCCTACCCTGCTCGTGCCCCTCACTTGGCTAGCACACACAAAGTCCCCACCAGTCAGACCCCCATCTCTGGGTTGTTTCTTCCTGAAGCCACTGCCAACTTCGCAGCCTGGGGAAAAGAGCGGAACTCTGTGTGTGGGGTGGGGGGCAGGACTGTCAGCCCCCAGCAGGGGAGGAAAGGCTCTGGCCTGTGGTAGGCCTGGCTCTGGCCTTGGCCCTGGCCCGCCTCCTGGAGTTTGCCCAGCTCCCTTTGCTGCAGGCTGCAGGGTGGAGCAGGCAGGAAGCACCGGGGCTGGGGGACCCATCGGGTGGGGCTGTTACCTTTCCACACGGCCCGCTGGCACAGTGCACACGGCCCACCAGCGTATTTAATAGGCTGCTCAGCTCCTCTCCATCCAGAGTGCCCCGGCCTGAGGTGAGCAGGCTCAGCAGACTGGCAGGCTGGGCCACCACCGCCGTTACCACCGTCATGGCCCACAGCAGCCCTGCTGTGAGCTGGGCTAGGAGCACCATGCTTGGTCGCCAGAGTGCTCGGAGCTGAGTGGAGTCTGTGTGTCTGAGCCAGTTGAGGGCTGCTGGGACCAGACTAGGGTTGGGCTCTACAGGTCTGGCCCCAGGACCTCTCCCAGGTATTCCCTATAGGGCTCTGTGATTGGTTGCTGGAGGTGTCTGGGTTAACCCTTCCAGTGACAGGTCCTCCCTGATAGCAAGGAGCTGGGCTGCTGCCTGCTGGGGAATAAGGACTGGGCCCTTCCCCTCGGTGATGGCCTGGGCATCCCTTCCCTGCCTGCCTAACCCAGAGTAGTGGTGCAGGCCACCCCCTCTGCTCTCCCAAGGGCTCCAAGCACCCCCTCCTGGGACTCTCTCTGGAGGTCACCCTCCAGTTCATGCTCCTGGAACAGAGCGGCATGAATGCCACGTTGGCACCTCAGAATCCTCCCGCCAACACCTGCCTTGGTGCCTTCCCAGCTGTCTCCCCAAAGCCTGTGGCCCCAGTTGGGGATGGGGCTGTGGTCTCTGGGCCAGGGATGGGCTGCTGTGTAAGGAACCACAAAGGTGCTTGCTGAGTCAGGTACCGCACCCCAAGCCCTTCAGGGAAAATCCCCAGGAAACGGCCAAAGCTCCAACCCACAAACAGGAAGGGAGGACACGACCTTCGCCCTGGCCCCACCTGCAGGGCTCTTGGGGTCAGGGCGTAACAGTGCTTCACTTTATGCTTTGAATGTGGCCTCCCTGCTCAAATGGACCTGCTTCATTCTCTTGCTCTCTCCCTGCTCCTCTCTAATCTCTCCCCTCCGTAACCTCAGGGGAAACAGGATGCACTTTCTTCCCCATTTTAGGCATTTATCTTTCCTTGAATACACATCTATCACAGGAACAAAGTCATCCAGACTTTGGGGATGGCACCCGATTTCAGGACGGGAGTCCCCTGTGTTTCTCAAAACCATGTCCTTCTTATTGGATTGCCATCATCGGGGACCAGGACCGAGAGATGAGCAATAAGGGCAGGAGGTCTGGGAAGTGCCCAAGCTCTGGGCCTGGGGAGGGTCAGGGGAGGCTGTGGCTCCCAGTGTGCTCCCCCTGGCTGCTCTCTCTCCAGCCTTTGACCCCTGGGCCTTATCTCTACCTCTGTGCAGTCTGGGGGAAAGGTTGAACCCCAGGGATCTTGGACATCCCCAGGCCTAGGGCAGCCCTGCCTCTGGGCTCCTCCCACTGAATTCAGCCAACCCCTGACACCCGAGCTCTGCAGGGTGGGGCTGGGTTGTTGAGCTGGGAGACTGATGCCAAGGACTCTGTTCCCTAGCCCTGTAGGGCAGGGCCGGGCAGGGCAGGGCCTGATGAGCTTGGGCTGGATGTCCTGGGCCCTGGGGTCAGGTGCCTCTCCTGCCTGTCCCTAAGTGGGAGTTAGGGCAGGGCCTGGGAGAGGCTGCCTGGGACAAAAAAGAGGGCAGCCCCACACATCTCTCAAGATGCGATGGCCAAAAATGGAGGTTTCCTTCTACTTCCTTCTACCACTGGGCTGGTTAGAGGCTAGGACCAGGCTGGCTTGAAACAGCCTCTGGCCACACAATGCTCCAGTTGTCAGCTTCTGGGCAAAGATCTGGGCTGGGTCTGATGTTCAGGCCTTCCCTAACCTCTGCACCCCAGGGGCCAAAACTGTCTGAGCCCTCAAAGGTCAGTGCAAGGCTGGCCTCTGCCCAAAGGGCCTCGGTGCCTTTTCCTGTGCCCTCCCACTTTCCCAATGCCCTCTTGTCTAGTCTAAGAGCTACCACTGAGAGCATTCTCAGATGGCTTCCCTCCCCAGTAAGGCCAGTCCTCTGGGTACTTGTGAGGATGGCCTTAGGCCCGAGCCTAAGCAACTCACCAGTACCCAGGCTCACCAGGCACACCCACAGAGCCCTCCAGTGTGGCCTCAGACAAGTCACTTCCCCTGACCCTGATCAACAGAGTGAAGCCCCTGGCAGGCTGTCCTCGCCTGATAAGAGGGAAGGGTGAGAAGATGGGGGGGGGGGGGGGCGGGGGAGACACCAGACCAGATGTTTCTGACCCCAGGGTAAATGATGTCACTGAGAAATCCAGTGGTAGCTTATAAGGATTGAAAGGGGGGTCAAAAGCCCCCAAATGTAGTAAAAATAATAGAGCAAATGAACAGGGATTCAGCCACCCGAAACAAGGATGCACTCGAGCTGGAGAGCCTGATGAGGACCTGACATCCCGTCACTTGTCATCCTTCCTGAGCCTCTGCGTGATGGTCACCACTCTCAAACTCTACCGCCTCGTCTGGACCTTGGTGAGAGCCGCAACTTCTCCCTAAGACCCCCTCCTCAACCGGTCGTCCACTCCACGCCAGGAAAAGCCTGCTTGGTTCCGGACCTGGTCACCACAGTCCGAGTGGGTGGGCATCTGCTGGACATAAAGCCTAAGGCTTAGGACTTTTGAACTTATCCTGCAGAGGGGATGTCTGTCATTAGCCTGTCATGATTAGGTGTGTTTGCAGTGCTTAGACTTAATCTAGAATTGTTTGCTGTGAATTGATTATGTCTATTGCAGTGCCCAGCATCAAGGATTGTCATTTTCTTGATTAAGAACCTATAGAGTGAAACTGTATGGAGTGATTTGAGAGAATAAAGCACTGAAAAGAGCAGAAGCACATGGACATTTTTATTTCTCCCCTCGACTGCATACGTCGCAATTTTGCCCTCTTGCGACAGTACTGTACCATCTCCTGCATCCCAGATCCTCTGCGTCATTCCATCATCCAGTAAGCTCAATGTAATTGCACCCATCATAAAAACAAAACACTAGGTGGAGGAAGTAACCCAGCAGCAGAAGGCTGGCTTAGTGTGTGTGAGGCCCTGGCTTCAATCCACAGTATAGTAAAAAAACAAAATCCATAAGCCTGTCACAGCTGCATTACGCAAAACAGCCAGGAGGTGGAGCCACCCAGTGCCCACAGAGGGGTGAGTGACAAGCCATAGTGTGTGTAGGTGTAGGCATGCTGGAGCAGCATTCTGCCTTTTAGAAGGGCGGAAATCCCATCACATGGTACAACATAGGTGCACTAGAGGACACTGCTGAGTGAAATACATTCTTAAAAGGACAAACAGTGGATTCCACTTACACAATGGGGCTGGAGTGCTCAAATACAGACAGGAAGCAGAAGGGTGCTAGGGCTCAGGGCTGGTGCTTCCTGGGTGCTGAGGTTCACCTTGGGAAGATGGGGAGTTCAGGCAGTGAAGATGGCTCACTGCAGCAAAATTGCCTGAAGTCACTGAACTGTGCACTCCAAATGGATACAGTGGCAAATTTACATTTTATTACAATAAAAGAAGAGAGATCAAAGCAACATACCTTCGCCATCAGCCCCTCTGAACTCCTGCAGGCCTCACATGCTGTAGTATCAAAAGGCTGTTTCTGCCAGGTGTGGTGCCTGTAATCTCAGTGGCCTGGGAGGCTGAGGCAGGAGGATGGTGAGTTCAAAGCCAGCCTCAGCAAAAGTGAGGCGCTAAGCAACTCAATGAGACCTTATCTCTAAATAAAATACAAAAATAGGGCTGGGGATGTGGCTTAGGAGTCGAGTGCCCTTGGGTTCAATCCCTGGTACCCCTTCCACACACACAAAAAGGCTATTCCCCAGCCACCAAGGCTGTTCTACCAGCACCCTGCTCTGCCGTACCCTGGTGCCATGTGCTGCAATGTTTAGCATGCCTCTCTGGGCCTTGTGGCTTACTGCTTTCCCTGGGTGCCTTTTTTTCATACCAGGGATTGAACCCAGGTGTGCTCTACCCTGAGATGCATTCCCATTCCTTTTTATTCTGAGACAGGGTCATATAAGTTGCTCAGGCTAGTCTCAAACTTGTGACCCTCCTGCCTCAGCCTTCCTCGTAGTTGAGTACGGTGGCCTAGTATGGTGGTGCAAGCCTGTGCCACCACACCTGGCCAGGACAGTGATCTCTGAGTCAGGTTCACAACGACTGCTAGGGCAGCTGGCAGCCTTGTTATGGTTGGTAGTTTTTCATGAAGCCCAGCTGCCTGGAGCACTCAGGTGCTGAGTGGGGAGGCTGGCATGTCAGGCGCGGTAGAGATTCCCCCAGCCCTCCTACGTGCCCAGGCAAGGCCCACTGGGGAGGACAATGCCCCTGCAGAAACAGATTGTGTGCAGAGTGGAAGTGACAGGGCCAAGCTCCCATGCTGATTTGGGGAGCAGTGGCTGCAGGATCCTACCAGAAGGTCAGCAGGGTAGACAGATCAGGCAGGGCAGGCCCAGGATAGCTGCCCACCGCAGGCAGAACAATAGCATCTTTATTGGGGGTGAGTCTTGACAACACAGACACAGACAGCTGCTCTCTCTGGACATCAAGTCTCACAAAGCTGTCCAGGGTGGGTGTGGCCAGAGGAAGTGGGGAATGGTCCCCTAGGTAGCCATCCCCCATCCCCCATCCCCCATGGGCCACTCTGAGGCTCAGGCGTGCAGGAAGCGGTTAAAGGCGTTGTAGGCGGACTCCAGATCGAAGAGCATTTGCCGTACCTGGGAGTCATCCAGCTCATCAGATGCTGACATGCCGCTCAAGGTCTGTAGCCTGGAAGCAGAGTGAGTGGGGGTGTGGGCAGCAAGGCCATGAGGGCCCCTCGCTGAGGGCCTACATAGGAGAGGCACTCACCATTGGCTGACTGTTTGGCGGCCCTCGAAGTCTGGGGGCAAGTGGCTCATGCGGTGCATGGTCTCCATCAGCTCCCGCAGGTCAGGCTGGATCTGCAGACACAGGTGAGGGGCTGGGACTCTGGCCCTGCCTGCCCACCCACCCAGTCCCCATTCCGTCTGACTCCTTTACCTCGTCCATGGCGCGGATTTCTAGGCGCAGTTTGTCCATTACTGTGATGAAGAGCTGGGGGGGGCGTGTACGAGGTTTCACAGACCAGCTTGGTGTAGGGAGGCCCCTGGCAGGTTCCCCTGCAGGGCCAGGCCCAAGGCCTAGCCTGCCTGCTGCTCCCACCTCAGGTTCTTCACCATACCTGATCCCGAAGCCCTGGGGCTCCTTCCTGTCTGGGGCATTATGTACAGGACCCTCCTGGGGGTGTCTCCTGGCTGCAAGGAGAGCTATGTGGAAACTATGGGTACACCTACATACAACTTTCCCAGGCCAGGATCTTGCCAGAGTGGACCCTGTGCCTGTCTCATAGGTGCCTATGGGCAGCCAGGTGGGCTTTGGGATGCTGCTCAGCTGAGGCCCTGGGACTCTATACCAGCGATGGGCTGCAGCAAGTCCTCCCGCCCTCCCAGGAGACTGGGCTTACTGAGACAACATCAGCAATACAGCGGTTGAGGTTGCCCTTGTCATCCTTGATGGTGATGGGCCTGTCTTCCTTAACCCTCTCCATGGCGAGTGGGCAGTCCAGCTGAAGGGAGCAGATGCAGGTGCTCAGTCTTGCAAAAGGGCAGGCCCTATGCAGGCCATGGCCTCTTCTCAGGGGCACCCCACCGCACCCTTCCTGTGGTGTGGAGAGAGTGGCTCACTCACGCGGAACTTGCGGCAGAATTCATCAATGGAACTGATTTCTGAGCCTTGAACCTGCCGGAAGGCAGCTTTGTACTGGACCAGGAGCCGAGAGCAGGCTGCAGTGTACCTAGTGAAAGGGCCAGCTGCTACCCATGCCTGAAACCAGCCCCCGCTCATCCTGCTTTCCCCAGCCTGTTCAGACACAGTGGCTCTCATGGAAGACCAGGTGATGGAGTCAGAGACTGGACACTGAGGGCTGAGGCTTGCCATCAAGTCTGTACAAGACAAGAATTCTGGGAGAGAGCAGAGGCCAAAATACAATGGCCACAGGGGATAAGACTCACATTGGCACAGGTTCACATTGTCCTGAGGGGCCAATGGCTTGCTGGGCTTATTACCTCACTGAATGAAACCCCCACATCCACACTGGGTGCCAGGCCTAAGTAGCACTGCCTCCTACTAGACATCCCCAACCTCCCTCCTGGCCTCCAAGGACTTTCCATGAATCTGGTCACCCATGCCTGGCAGACAGGGCCAGGAGCACACACATTTGCATGTCTGTCCTTCACTAGATATCTTTCCACCCATGCAAGGTTTCCCTGGTTGAAATAGCACTGAGGCCACCTAGCACCCAGGAGCATTACCATGGTGCTGGGAGCCCTACAGAAGTGAGTGCCCCAGTAGAAGCCCCAGACCACTATTTCTGCTGCCTACTGAGCCCCTCTGCCTTGCAGAGCGTAGAAATTGGCTCCCAAGGTAGGGTACCCTTTGGACATTGAAGGGTAGTGGGCTTGCTCACTCGTTGGGGGTGACGCAGTCCTTGATGTATGCTTTTTCCAGTGCCTGCATTGTCTTCACTACTGCAAACAGCTCTGCCATGTTGTCATACCTGAGATGATCTGACCATCAGGCACGGCCCTGAAGCAGGGAAGCCTCCCACAATGGGACGCAGCTACGGTGGAACTGTCAGCCCACCTCTCAGCCCATCCCTGGCAGATGTTCCTTGGAAAATGTCCCCCAAACCTGACCCCATGTTGTCTTCCCCAACCATGTGACCCATGTTGTCTTCCCCAACTACCAATGTGGTGGCGGGTTTGGGAGTGGCTACTCCCAGAAGGCTTGGATGGGCACAGGTGCATGCTGGGGGCAGCCTGGATGCTTGACTTACTTCTCCCTCTCCCGGGCATTCTTGTACAACTTCACTTCCTGTTGGAGAGAGTACGTAACATGTTACCCAGTTGCATCTGGTGGCCCCAGCGGCCAGTGGGGGTCCACACAGCTGTTTGCTGTGGGCCAACACTGGCCAGGTGGGCACCTGACACTCACCTCATACAGCTCTGGCTTGTTTCCAGGGGCTGCAACAGAGTAGGCAGAGAGCTATTAGGCTGGCCACAAAGTGACCCCAGGGCAGTTTCTGATCCCAGCCCCATTCAGTTTCCTCCCTCAGGCCTCTCCTGAGCTCTATCCCAAAGAACTTAGATGGAGCTGAAGGATGGGGGTTCCATTTTCACTCCCAGTCAGTGGGCAGGATACTGGTTTTGAATGGCTATGGCAGGCCTAGCTGCACAACAGGGAGAACCCCACTTTGTTTACAATGCCACAGTGTGGTGCAAATAAGGCTTGTCACACACCTTACAACTTGGGCTCAATGCAGGAATCCCCAGGATGCCGATGCTCTGTGCACACTGAAGCTCATCATCTCTGTGCTGAACAAGGCCAGGCTAGCTCTACCTGGAGGTCTTGGGGCTCTTACTGTTTATCTCTGGCCACCTCCAAGGCAGTATGAAGGTGGGGGGAGGTCGGTGACTTAATGACTCCCTCCTCTAACACATTCCCATCAGTCCCACCACAGCATAAGCCTGGGCCCTTCCTGTTCTGCTCGGTGCAGACATACTCACCTCCCATGCCGGGAGTGGCTGGGATCCCGTGAAACATCCTGCAGGCTCTGTCAGCCACAAGTGAGACCTGGGGAGTACATTCAGCCCCAATTCAAGAGGACCCTGACACCCTGAGTCAGGCCCTGATATCCATCTTCCCCACTGGCCCTCCACAACTATCAAAACACAGAGCCCAAGTGGTGTCAGAAGCGAGAGAGGCTGGAGGCACTGAGAGTGATGTGCAGGACAGAAGATGGAACCCTCATCCTTCT